GGCTGCTAGGACGTCCCATCTCAGCGCCTGGCACAGAGGGGGGCTGGGTCCTGGGTCCGAGGGGAGGTCGGGCTGTCACTCACATCTGCATGGCAGATGGTGTCAGAGGAAGGAGGGCTCCTCGCCTGCTGGTTTGCCAGGAGTCCAGCCTCGGGGGCTGGGAGCCTGGAGGGAGGCCTGGCCTGCCAGGGGGACCCAGGGGTCAGCGAGCCCGGCCTCTCCCTCACCCTCTGCTGCGTAGAAGGCCTCGAAGCCCGTGAACGCCTTCTCGTTGGAGTAGTCGGAGCGGAAGGTGACGTTCAGGCTGGGGCCGGGCGAGTAGAAGGTGGTGTTCCCCGGGGCCTGCTCCGTGTCCGTGCTCTCCCAGCCGCACAGCGTGGCCAGCACCTCGGTCCCCGAGCTCAGCTGTGGGGTCGGGGGTCACTGGGAGGGACAGCCAGACCCAGGCCTCCCGCCCTCCCAGGCCGGACTCCACTCCCAGGGCCCCCTGTCCCCGAGCCCCAGCCTGTTCTGGGGGGCCCCTGTGGGCACCTTGACGAAGTCGTACTCGCAGCGGTAGGAGAGCTCCAGGTGGAAGTGGGTGAAGTAGAGGCGCAGGCGGTAGCCCGGGGGCGCCGTCAGGGTCCAGCGCAGCTCCTGGTCGTCCGGGTACTTCCCCGGGAAGATGTGGAGACCGATAGACAGTGAGCCCTGTGGTGCTGGGTTGGGGTGCAGTCCCTGCGGGGGTGGCGTGAGGCCTTTCCTCAAGGAAGGGGATCTGAAACCACACGACTTCCTCGACGCTCTCACTTGTGACAGGAAGGTCTGCAGCCACAGGAGGGAGGAGGCGGCACAGCCTGCACTGTCTAGCTCCCCCAAAAGGGCACTCAAACGACTCTGAAGGGCGCAGCTTGTTCTTGGGATCCCTTTCCTAATTGAACCTATTGTTAGAGAGAGAAAGGGATCGGCTGCCTCCTGCACGCCCCAGCCGGGGATGGAACCCACAACCTATGTATGTGCCCAGACCAGGAATCCAACCACCACCTTCTGTTGTACAGATGATGCTCCAACCAACTGAGCCACACAGGCCAGGGCTCATAAATTGAACTTTCTAGAAGACCTGGAAGTCCTTGAATTTGGGTTAGAATTCACACTTGGGACATTGCTAATAGGAAGGAAGTAACCACTTTGTGAGACAGTGCTAAACGTCTCCACACGGTGGATGTATAAAATCGTTGATGCATATCTAGGTATTCAAAGACTGCATTTAAATGATTTTCAGCAATATCTGTGTGCCTGGCTCTGCCAAGTGCTTTGTCTGCATTGCCTAATTGTCTGTAGATGAGGCACCATAACTACCCAACCAAAAATAGCCGAAGCAGGGCTCAAACCCAGACCTCTGGCTTCCACTGCCTTTAGAACTTCTCTGCTGCTTTTTTAACTAAAAGAATAGGTGGGAATGTAAATTTATGAAATAAAAATATTTAATTCCCCCAGGCATTTTGTAGAAATTCTTACGCAAAATATACAGAAATACATGTACAGGGTGTTAACTACAGCAAGTGCCTGTAACAGTAAAAAAAGGGGGGAGAGGGGGACAATGAAAGATTAAAAGCATGGTGTGATGAAATGCTATACAGTCATTAGCAAGAATGAGAGGCTCTATTAATACCTAAACTGATGTGGGAAGATAGCCCAACAAGATGGAGAAAAGCAATTGCAATCATTAAGTATCCCATTTTGGTTAATAATAATAGCCCTAGCCAGTTTGGCTCAGTGGATAGAGAGCCGGTGGACTGAAGGGTCCCAGGTTCGATTCCGGTCAAGGGTACATACCTCAGTTGCAGGCTCAATCCCCAGCCCTGGTCAACCAATTGATGTGTGTGTCTCACATCGATGTTTCTCTCTGTCTCTCCTCCTCCCACTCTCAAAAAAAAAAGAAAAAAAAGACCAAAACCCACACAGGAGCACACCCACACCTTCCCCTTCCCCTGTTCCCCGCCCTCCCCCGCCCCCCACACACATGTTACCTTTGCCTTTCTCCTAAGCTCCAAGGGCCCTTCTGCCTCTGTAACTCATTTCCTTAGCCCATTTCTTCTACGGATCACTTCTACCTCTCTATAATTTTTTAAAATATATTTCTATTGATTTCAGAGAGGAAGGGAGAGGGAGAGAGAGAGAGAAACATCAATGGCAAGAGAGAATCATTGATTGGCTGCCCCCTTCATGCCCCATTGGGGATGGAGTCCACAACCCGAACATATGCCCTGACCGGGAATCGACTGTGACCTGGTTCATAGGCTGACGCTCAACCACTGAGCCTTGCCGGCCAGGCTGTGTAATTTTCTATTAAACTTTATCTTATAGTTTGAAAAAAAAACATATAATAGTGAAATACGTTAATATATATATATATATAACATAGGAGATAAAGAATATGAAGGAGTAGACCCCAAACTCAGTGGTAGTTTAGGGATTTGGTCAAGAGTGGCTTTTACTATATATTTTTGTAAACATATTTTCCAATTAACGTGTATTTTATAATTGAAAATATATTTAAGGTAAGATACATGATTCTTAGTTCACAAAATGGTAGTACACCATTGTCTCAGTTTGGTGTGTGTATGTCCACACAACTACCCCATCCCTACATGCAGTAGCCTAAACCTGTGTGCATATGTGAGACACATACACCAAAATAGTGATTAGAGTTGTACTGTGGGATTATGGGTATTACAATGTCATTTTCTCTATTTCCCATCTTCTATAAGGATTTTATACTTAGAAAAAATATTTTTAAAGATCACATTTTTTTTAAAGCAAACAATTGCCCTGGCCAGTGTGGCTCAGTTGGTTGAGCACCGCTCCATGCGTGGAAGAGTGTCAGGTTCGATTTCCGGTCAGGGCACATACCCAGGTTCCGGGTTCAATCCCTGGCCGGGGCGGTGTTTCTCTCTCTCAACGATGTTTCTCCCTCCCGCTCCCTTCTTCTCTCCCTAAAATCAATTAAAGGGAAATACAGTGGGGCCTTGACTTACGAGTTTAATTCGTTCCGTGACGGAGCTCGTAACTCAAATTACTCGTATGTCAAATCAATTGTGAACGAGTGAGACAGGTGATGCTGGGCTGATGTTGTGGCGTTCACTGTGACGTTCGCTGCGCCAACTAGCGGTGGGGTATCTGAAGCTGGCTCGTAACCCGAATTTTAGCTCGCAACTCAAAGCAAAAAATCAGCCGAGAGACGGCTCATATCTCGAAAAACTCATTAGTCGGGACACTCGTAAGTCAAGGCCCCACTGTAATTATCCTACTAGCTTGGTTTCATTTTAACCTCTAAGAGTGCACTGAGAGCCTGGGGAAGAGAAGCAAATTTGGAATTCAACCCCCGAAAAATAGCATCCTTTTTACAAAGGCCAGCAGCAGCAATAGAAGCAGTGACAGCAGCAGAAGCTCTGGGGTTGTCATGTGACCGTACTGCTGCATTCTGGCATCGGCTGGTCCCAAGATCCATCCTTCTGACAGACGGCAGTAAATGACCTCAGGGGCAAATGACCCTAAAGAGGAAGAGAAAATATTAATTTCCTTGTTTACATCAGAAAAATCTCTCCCCTAACCTACGCCCCCACAGTAGTTCCTCTTCTAGTGTTTCACCAGATGCTCCCAAGGGGGCGATGCACCCCCATGACCGGACGCACAGCCCAACTCTGCCTCCCTGCCGGTGCGGGCGACTGCGGGGTACACCTCCTGTCAAGGTGCCTTGGCATTTTAGAACCAAATGCTGACCCCCGGCGGATTCTCCACCATCTCTCTTTTCTGTGAAGTGCATGGGGAGGCGGTCAGAAGCGGGGGGAAGGCCAGCCCCGTGCGACACTGAGCAAAGGTGTATGGGTTTTCTCGCCTGCGGCCCTTGCTGGAGGAGAGCTACCCGAGTTCTCAGTGTTCATGGCTGATCGGCTTACAGAGAAGCATTTTTTTTTAAAGTCCTCACCGGGGGATATTTTTCCATTGATTTTTAGAGAGAGTGGAAGAGAGAGGGAAAGAGAGAGAAATAACGATGTGAGAAAAACACATTGCTTGCCTCCTGCATGGGCACCGACCAGGGCCCAGGCCAGGGAGGAGCCTGCAACCAAGGTATGTGCCCTTGACCGGAACTGAACCCAGGACCCTCCTGTCCACAGGCCGACGCTCTAGCCACTGCGCCCAGAGAAGCATTGTTGACCAACTGCAGTAGCTTCCTAAAACCAGGCTCAGTGAGCGAAGGTGGCTCCGGCAGAGCCTTGTGCTTCAAAGGACAGCAGGGTGATTTTTTAAAAATCAGCAACGGAGCAGGTTTGCAGTCCAAGGAGCTGCGGAGAAGAGCCCGCCCCAAAGTCTGCAAGGTGGCAAGGTGTCACTTTTTTCCTGGTGTCGCCCCCCCTCCTCCCCCAATAGGACTGCACTGCACACCTCGCTGTCATTTCCTGTTATTACTTCGTACCACTGGGATTCAGTGACAATTGTGAAGAACATAAAGGGGCGTGTTAATCTCCTACCTGTGCCCCTACAGCAACACACTAAGCGTTTTTAAAAAATTACCCTCCCGCTCCCTCAACAGTGGCCACTATTTATAACTTTGCGGGACACACTACTTCCCAGCGCCGTTTAATTTTTTAATTTTTTGTGGGCCCAGGAGTTGTTCCGTTAGGTCAGCGGTTCTCAACCTGTGGGTCGAGACCCCTTTGGGGGTCGAACGACCCTTTCACAGGGGTCGCCTAAGACCATCGGAAAACACATATATAATTACATATTGTTTCTGTGATTAATCACTATGCTTTCATTATGTTCAATTTGTAACAATGAAAATACATCCTGCATATCAGATATTTACATGACGATTCATAACAGTAACAATATTACAGTTATGAAGTAGCAACGAAAATAATGTTATGGTTGGGTCACAACATGAGGAACTGTACTAAAGGGTCGCGGCATTAGGAAGGTTGAGAACCACTGCGTTAGGTCATCCTAAGAATAAAAATTCTCCGTAGCCATCCCTCTTCTCAGCAAACAAAACACACACCCAGGCTGACAACAGCCGTTTTCCTGCTACGTATCTGCTGACATGATGTGCACACCTTTGAAAACTACCACGGCTCACAGTTTAGTAGTAACTTACACGCAGAAGCTCGTAGCCAGCCGCGCACACCACGGAGAAGCGGTCTTTCAGGATGTACGTGGCTTGCACAGGTGCGATGTGGCCATGAGGTGGCGCCACCGGATCAGGGCACGGCTGAGCTGCGGGAGGAAGCCGGGCTGTGGGTTCTGAGGGGTCTATGGCCGGTGAGTCGGGACTGACGTTTGAAGTTCTTGGTTTATAAATGAGACACTTTACACGGAAAGGAGAGCTCTTCGGATTTAACACCAAAGGGGGGTGGCACACCCGGCTGCGTGTTGTGCACATTGGGATGTGCTGCCTGGCCTGGGCTTCAGCCAAAGCTGCGTAAGGAAGCCAGGCAGGCCCTCGCCCGTTTGGCTCAGTGGATAGGGCGTCGGCCTGGGGACTCAAGGGTCCCGGGTTCAATTTCAGTCGTTGCGGGCTCCATCCCCAGTGTGGGGCATGCTGGAGGCAGCCTATCAATGATTCTCCGTCATCATTGATGTTTCTATCTCCCCCTCTCCCTTCCTCTCTGAAATCAATACAAATATATTTTTTTCAAAAAAGAGAGAGAGAGAGAGAGAGAGAGAGAGAGAAGAAAGGAAAGAAAGAAAGAGAAAAAAAAAGGAAGGAAGGAAGGAAGGAAGGAAGGAAGGAAGGAAGGAAGGAAGGAAGGAAGGAAGGAAGGAAGGAAGGAAAGGAAGAGAAAGCCAGGCATGGCCTAGCCAATTTGGTTTGGTGGATAGAGCATCAGCCTGGGGACTGAAGGGTCCCAGGTTTGATTCTGGTCAGGGCACATGCCTGGGTTGTAGGATTGATCCCTAGGGGGGCGTGCAGGAGGCAGCCAATCAATGATTCTCTCTCATCATTGATGTTTCTCTCTCTCCCTCTCCCTTCCTCTCTGAAATCAATAAAAACATGTATTTTTTACATTGGCCTGCTATATTTGGTCAAACATTTAACTCACCGCTAATGCCTTGGCAGGGCCAGACCAAGAGATTTCTCAGAGCTTATACAGCCCACGGGCTGGACGCCCCCCACCCTGTTAGACGCTCCACACCTCCTGCCCGCCCGCCCGCACCTGTGCTGGTGTAGTGGACCTTCCAGCCTGTGTGTTCCCCCGAGTCGTCAGTAACAAAGGTCACGGTCACAGCGTTGCTCTTGGTTTCAATCCTGCTGGGCAACGTCTC